GGCTGATTTTTACACAAACATGGGCAAGGCGACCTTGTGTCATGTTTAGAGTATTTCTATTTGCCTTAATAGATTTCTCAAGCATAATAACTAGTGTGAGAATGACACTTTCATCATAAAAATCCATCCCTAACCAAAGAAACTTAACCCACATCATTGTTTAATTTCTTTGACACTAGTATTTTAGTTTTGTGTATTATTAGTAAATATTTATTATATATAATTAAAATTTATAATAAATTATATATATAAATAAATATGATATTTAAATATATACATTATATTTAAAATTTTAATAAATAAATATTTTTAATAAATTATAGAAATTAATGTCTTATATGTTTGACACTCTAAGCTCACTAATGAATAAGTTTATGAATATTTTTCTGTTTTCAAACTTATGTGCATGTGCATGAATGTTAATATTGTAAACAATTTGTCTTTGAAATTGACATTATTGTTAGACAAATTATGTACTTCCTATTAAAGTGTCATGTTTAGAAGAAGGCTAATATAGTAGTACATGGAAGGGACTATGTCAAATAAGTGATGTACAACCGTCGTGACTCTTATTAGTTATTGTTCTTAATTATGACTTATGATATTATAAATGTATGATACATTTATTTTTATTAATGTGCATTATGATTGATATTTTATTAAACTATGATGTTGTATTTTGTCACATAAGCCAAGTGGGAGAATGTCAGAAATCAATGTCTCGTGTATGGCAAATGAAAGGATATGACTTTTGGGAATGAGTTATTATGTTTTAATGAAGGGATATATTGTTTGATGGAAACAATATATATATATGTATATATATATATATATATATAATGGAAGGACATGAATAGTCTCTATCTCTCTCTATGAAGGTTCGTCTCTTAAAATTACCATCAAGAAAAGAAGAGTACAAAGTAAAGAAAAAGAGAAAGATAGAAAAGATTCTTCTTACAAATTCTAAAAGATTCAAAGTCCTTAATCTCATCATGGATCAAGGTTAGTGTTTCTATCTAATCTTATATGTGAAAACTATGAATTCTATGATCCTATTTGATCATTCAAATATCATGAAATATTTACATAACAAATTCCCACATATCTACAAAATAGAATACATCTTAAATTGGTAGGGTAGTGGTTTATAAAAATTCCTCTAAAATATAAATGATAGAATCCTATGGTGTGTATTGTCAGAGTTTGCCCCTATCTAAAAACATATTGTTTCTTCTACCCATTTTTATTTAGAGATATTTACTTCGTTTGTCAATGCTACTGATTTTAGCTTTAATTTTGGGGTATTAATTCCACAAATTGTTTTTTTTTAGTGTATTAATTTTTTTAATTAAAATTTTCAAATTATTGTATAGAAAAAAGTACTAAAATGCATGATTCCGTGATTAGAGAAAATGGCAAAAAAAAAAAAAGTAATATGTACATAGTTTGGAAGCATCCTAATTTCGCGATTTTCTCCCAAATAAATTATTCTTGACATTCTTCAATTGTATATTTATGACATGAATCTCTACTTTAAATATGTATGGAAAGTGTGGGCAAAATTAAGAGAGGGTTATTTAGAATCTTAAGACATGATTTTAAAATTTAATTGTGATTGTCTAAATTTGTAAAAAAGGGAAGATTTTTGTAAAAAGAGAAAATATAAAATACAAGGTAAATATTCTTCAATTTCGTATTCATCACATAAAACTCTACTTTAAAGATGTATGGAAAGTGTAGGCAAAATTTAAGCGAGGATTATTTAGAATAGACATAATTTTAAAATTTAATTCTAATTGTCTAAATTTATTTATAAAGAAAGAATCTTGTAATAATAAGAGAAAAACACATGGGAGGTAAAAAAATTAGGAATTATAATAAGTTAAATTTAATTTTTGTAGTAATTTATATTAAATTTAATTTTTTGTAGTAATTTATAATAAGTTAAAAATAAATTTTATTACTTGTTTATAATAACGTGACAAATATCCATTAATATGACATCATCAATAATTACGGATAATATATGCATATTGTACGGGATAGGAACCCCGTTGACTCGGTCAAAGGCCGAATACGACAAAACCGAAGGGATACCCTCACACCCCTTCGTCTAGAAATCAAACTTGGAACCCTCGAACACCATCTCGGCTATGAACCAGGCCGAACACCCTCTCGGCCGTGGACCAGGCCGAACACCATCTCGGTCATGGACCAGGCCGAGCACCAGCTCCTCCAGGGAACAAAACAGTACCTCCTAAATCCAATTATGAGCAGTCACTACAAAAGCCGAGCACCCTCTCGGCCATGGACCAGATCGAACACCCTCTCGGCCATGGACCAGGCCGGACACCATCTCGGCCATAGGCCAAACTGAACACTCACTCGGCCCCTGACCAGGCCGAACTCCCTTTCGGCCTCAGGCCAGGCCGAATACCTCGTCGGCTTCAGGCTCGACCGAAGGACCTGACAAGAGGGGAATTCACCTAAAACACGTGGCTAGCCAAATGCCTACTATGCATTAATTACCATGCCAGATTAAGACAGGATTAAGGTTAAGTAAGATATTACCCATCTCTCAAGGTTGAAGGCCCATCAGGCCCACATATGTCACTATAAATATACAGGTGATGTGACATAAATGAGGTATGTTACTATTCCTTCTAACGCATTATTGCTCTGAACCGAACACTGACTTGATCATCGGAGTGCCTTTTCAGGGACCTCCCCCACCACTCGCAGCTAGTGTCCGGCCGGCACGGAAGATTCAGAAAGACTTGGAGGCAGCTAGGAAGGAGCAAGGAGAGGAGTGTTCCTCCCCGGAACACATATCAATGTAACACTATGAATAAAAAATAGAAAGTATTAGAAGAGAATTAAAATTAATAAAAGAAATTTAAGCAAATTAAAAAAAAAATAGAAGTACATTTATCAACACAAAAATTATAGTATAGACACGTTATTTATAAGCTTTTTGGCACAAATAAATTAAAAAGAAAAAATGACATAAAATAAATTAAGAAAAATAATTTACCGTTCTAGGTGATTTTTGTCATGTGGCATATTTGTTAAATGGCGCAAGGGAGACAAGAGTTTTGTAAACAGACAAAATTTAAATAGATGGCGCATGGGGTCCCCTACTCCATTAGCTTTTGATTAACATGACGCAGGGTCCTCTTATGCTTTGTTTACCTTTTAGATGACGCATGGTGGTCCCTGCTCCATCCACGTAACATCAGAATATATATATATATATATATATATATATATATATTATTGAATTTAAATATATTAATTAATATAATTTGATTAAATTTATAGTAAGTTATGAAACGAACAAATAGATAAATTTCAAAAAAATAAAAACTTCCTTTTATTTATATAAACTTAGGAATCCAACTGAGATTAAATAATTTAGGCATGTATTATGAACATTGTTGTCCAATTAATATATAAAATAAATTATTTAATTTTTTTATTAGTAAATAATTTTTTTGATTGATATAAAATAGATTATTTTTGAAAACCATTCTTTTTTATGAGCTCTAATTGGTTTAGTGTAAATTTATTTTACTGTGTTGGTACAAAAAAATTAAATTATATTAATATTATTTGAATTAGTTATATTTATAATATTGAGTAAAATAGTCACATTTATAATATTCAGAATATATTCAATTATTAAATTTAAACTATATAATTTTAAAATTTAAGATTTTAAAATTTAAAATTTAAAGATAATTTAATTTCATAAAAATTATTAAATTATCCACATTAATTTTTAAAATTATCTTTCATCATTTAAAAAATTGAATAACTAAATCATATATACAGATTTTCAAGTAAACTAGGCATAATTATAATATTTAGTTATTAAATTTAAAATATATAATTTTTAGATTTAAAATTTTAAAATTTTAAAATTAAAGATAATCTAATTTCATAATGCATACCAAAATATCCATATTAATTTATAAAATTACCTTTCATCATTTTAAAAATTAAATAACTATGTAAATTTTCAAGTAAGATAATCACATTTATAATATTTAATTAAATACATATATTCAATTATTAAATTCAAAATATATAATTTTTATATTTAAGATTTTTAAATTTTTAAATTTAAAGATAATTTAATTTCATAATGATTACTAAAATATGTCTTTCATCAATTTTAATAATTAAATAACTAAATCATATATACAGATATTCAAGTAAAATAGGCACATTTATAATATTCAATTAAATACATATATTCAATTACAAAATTTAAACTATATAATTTTTACATTTAAGATTTTAAAATTTTAATTTTTAAAATAATTTAATTTCATATATTTTAACAATTTTAATCATTATTTTTAAATTAGCAGATAATTATCTACATATATTTTAAACACATATTATATTTCTTAAATTTACAATATACAATGGATTTAAAAAAATAAAAATTTATATTTACTTGTAACTAATTTGCAATAACAGATGTAAAATTAAATTTAGTTATCTAACATGCAAAATAACACAAAAAAAATATTCAAAAACATAAATAAATAAACAAGAAATTATAAATAAAAAAAATTAACTTACAAGAGTAACCAAAGCAGGAGATTGGGAATGAGAGAAGAAGGTAAAAATAAATATATATAGAGGAAAAAGGAAAATAGGAGGAGATTACATGGATAGAACAGAAGACTCTATCTCTATGCGTCATTTAAAAGGCTAGCAAAGTGTAGAGTCACGTTAGTCAAAACAGATGGAGCAGAAGGCCCTATGCGCCATCCATTCATATTTTGTCTGTTTAAATAGATGCACCTAAAATGTAAATTGTTTTTTTAAAATTTATTTTATGTTTTCTTAATTTATTTGTGTCAAAAAAACCTTATTTATAACCGTCCGGAATAAAAGTTGTGAATGGTAAATTGTTTTTTTAAAATTTATTTTATGTTTTCTTAATTTATTTGTGTCAAAAAACCTTATTTATAACCGCCCGAAAAAAAAGTTGTATGGAGTTTTGAAGAAAGGGGGCGAGTCATTGCAATCGTAACAACGACAAGCAGAAAGGTGTGAGTGAGTGGTCAAATCCTCATTCTCAGACACGAAATCTTTAATTTCGATTCCAAGTCAAGATCTCGCATCCACCAAAATGACCATGGATGTTGTTCAGTTGCAGATGAAGCTCCGTGACCACCAAGCCTTTATGTTCCAACAAGTTCGCTTCCTTTCTCTTTTTACATTGCTACTCTTCATTCCTCTTTCTTATTTACGTTCAAATATCATTGCAATACGACGTCGTAGTTGCTCCCTGTGTTTCTTTCATTCGACTGCAAGGTATTTTTCCTTCAATAAAACTTGACCCCATATTTAACTTTTTATGAAACCATTTAATTATGATTGCAAAATTTACTTTTTTACACGGGAAATCCGGTCAAAACCCTGATGGGTACTGTTTTTCAATTTGTAGTACATGGTTGGCGATGTTGGATTCGTTCTTTGGGGATAAATGACTAATGGGTTATTTTTGATGAAGGGTTTATTGGATGATCAATTCAACCAGCTTCAAAAATTGCAAGATGATAGCAGTCCAAATTTTGTGGCTGAGGTTATCACTATGTTCTTTGATGATTCTGAGAATCTCATCAACAACATGGCATGTTGTCTGTGAGTATTGTTTATGGGGTAATTGGTTTTGTTTATGTTATGTATGAATATGGATGATGGTGTGAAGGGAAATAGTGTTCATGGGTTGGTTGTTTTGCAGAGAAAAAGTGCCAACTGATTTCAAACAAATAGATTCTCATGCTCATCAATATAAGGGAAGCAGTGTCAGGTGTCATACTATATTTGATTAGTTTTTATGTATTGCTGTGAAAATATTTGTAAGGTTTTTTGATTATGAGTAGTGATGTTTGTTGAACAGTATTGGTGCTGCCAAAGTTAAAAATGTGTGCGCTACCTTCAGAGCTTTTTGTGAAGCTAAGAACCGAGAAGGGTGAGTTGAATCTTTGAACGTGCACTTCATGTTATTGCCCCAATATTCATATCTCATGTCTCATGTCATGTGACTTATTTTGGTTTTGCATTGATTCATTAGTCTCCAAGTTTGTTCGGTGATCAAGTCACTAGGACTTTACATGTGATTCCTCTTAAACTTTAACAAACTCCCACATATCTACAAATAGAATACATCTTAAATTGGTAGGGTAGTGGTTTATAAAAATTCCTCTAAAATATAAATGACAGAATTCTACGGTGTGTATTGTCTGAGTTTGCCCTTATCTAAAAACATATTGTTTCTTCTACCCATTTTTATTTGGAGATATTTACTTTGTTTGTTAAGGCTACTGATTTTAGCTTTAATTTTGGGAAATTAATTCCACCAATATTTTTTTTTAGTGTATTAATTTTTTAATAAAATTTTCAAATTATTGTATAGAAAAAAGTACTAAAATGCATGATTCCGTGATTAGAGAAAATGGAAAAAAAAAAAAAAAAAAAAAAGTAATATGTACATAGTTTGGAAGCGTCCTAATTTTGCAATTTTCTCCTAAATAAATTATTCTTGACAATTGTATATTTATGACATAAATCTCTGCTTTAAATATGTATGGAAAGTGTGGGCAAAATTAAGAAAGGATTGTTTAAAATCTTACGAAATGATTTTAAAATTTAATTGTGATTGTCTAAATTTGAGAAAAAAGGAAAGATTTTTGTAAAAAGAGAAAATATAAAATACAAGGTAAATATTCTTCAATTTTGTATTCATCTCATAAAACTAAAGTATAGGCAAAATTTAAGCGAGGATTATTTAGAATAGACATAATTTTAAAATTTAATTTTAATTGTCTAAATTTATTTATAAAGGAAGAATCTTATAATAATAAGAGAAAAATACATGGAAGGTAAAAAAATTAGGAATTATAATTGAAAACCAAGTGAAAATAAATTGGACCTAGTGTCACTGAAATTGTTTTCCTAATCAAAACTAAGACACAAAATCTTAGTGCCCGAAAGGAGTAATCTGGTTTTGTAAGACAAGACAGCCAGCGAATCTCTTTTGGAACAAAGGAGCTTGTTGATTTATAGTAATAGAAATTTAAAATCACCTATTAAACAAAGAGGACTGAGAGATTTGAGAATATTTTCATCTATGTTCTTGTTCATCCGTGAGATGAGTGAGGGGTTCAGTTTCATTATGCGTGAGCATGATTACACTGCAAAGTTTGTACATAGTAATGCTTTTTTATGTGTCACTGTAATTCAACTGTCTGTATTTTGATGAATGAGTAGTATTTTGTTACATACTACATATTTTCATTTAATGTTTTTGATTTATTATTTCAAAATTTCGGTGATTAAATTGATCTTTAAAGTAAAAAGTGAGCTGTTTCTTATGTTTTAGGAGATATGCTACTCACAAGTCGCACTTAATTGATCTATGTAGGAAAATAACATGAAAATGTTGATAGCTTGGGGATTATCAAATGTACCCTTTTCATCGAGCCTTAACATGATAGGCAATATGATGTTTACTTTTTGGCATGAAGATATGGCCTTGACTGTTATTCTGTAAATGTAAAGCAAATCACTAAGAAAAAGTGTGTTAGTGCAGGTGTGTGAGATGTCTGCAACAATTGCGACAGGAATACTCTCTACTGAAGAACAATCTTCAATACTTATTCAGGGTAAGTACTGATGTAGTATTGTATGCTTATCCTTTTCTGCATGCTGTTTGAATTCTAATATATAGTGCTCATTGCTCAACTATATTTCATGTATTGATTATTGCAGCTGCAGCAAGAAATCAAGGCTGCTGGTGGTTCTATTCCCACACAATAGACTGGATGATTGCCAACTAGTGAAAATCATAACAAAGTGAAACTTTTGATGACAGTTGATTTTGTTCTTTTTTTCTTCTTTTTTTTTTGTCTTTTTGTGAATTATTCGTTCAGAATTACGTCAAAGGTTTGAACGATGGAATAGTGCTGATATGAATAAACGTTTCTTCCCTAGTTTATCACATACATATATGATTCTTTTCCCATAAGGTGTTGGCATTTTTTTTTTTTTCAAGCCCTACTCAATTGGGTTATAAAATTTATATTGATGGCCCTGTTAATACTTTGTGTGTGTGTTTTTTTTTCCTAAAGTGTCTTCGATATAAAATGCGTATAATATAGTGTTTAGAACTTAAAATTCAAAGAATTCATAATTTGGAAAGCGTGGAATTCTGAGCTCTTGAGTTGTCAGAGATATGTTTCTAAGTTTAATAATTTGAGGTAAAAATATTTTTGAAATTCTTATAATTTTCTCTATTTTACTTTTTAGTCTTTATAATTTAAAATATATTTTTTTAGTTCTTCTATTTATCTTTTTTAATATTTTTTTAATTTTTATAGTTTAAGATGAATCTGTTTAAATTCTATATATATGATTTTTTAATTCTTTTAGTTTTTATTGTTATTTTTTTAACATTATTTTTTTTTGTATTGACATAATAAAAATATTAATTTAACTCTATATATCCGATACCTAATTTATTTTGTTAAATTTATTGTGAATTAGGTTTCTTGAAATTTTGTATCTCTTGTATTTTCACTTATAATTTAATTGTTATACTTTTTTTTATTTTCATAAAATTAAAAACATCTACCACATCAATATAAAATAGATAACAATACAAAAAAAATCAACAATAAAGATTAAAAGAAAAAAATATTACAAGTATATAAATTAAAAAGAATTATTTTAATCTATAAAATTAAAAAAAGATTAAAAAAAATGTAAACTATATAGAAACATAAATTAAGAGTAATGCTTCGGCTTCTAACATGAAACGACCGAATTATCCTGTTATCACGTGAATTTTTTGCAAATTTTAAATTAAATTAATATTTATATTAAAATTAATTAACAGTTATCAATTTTTCAATGATTCGAAGAATGAATTGGCGAATGCAATGGGAAGATAAAGCATTTTCCATTAAGTTAAACTAAATGGAATACGATGTTAACCATTATTTGAAAAGCGCAGTATGCGATTGTTTTTTAATGAAATAAACGAATTACATTGATGACATTTGCGTGAATAAATTAAGATAATTTCGTCTGCGATATTATAATTCTCGTTTCTGTATACAATTAATATAAATTTATATTTTTGCCAATTCGTCCCTGAAGTATCCACTTCAGGTGGTGGTGACTAATGAATTTAGATCCTTTCCTGCAATTTTCTCTCTCCAGCCTCTCTCTTACAATATTAATAGTCATGGGATATATCTAATGGCTCAAATTTAATCTTATAATTAATGTAACTTCTTAAATGATTAAATTTGAGCAATTAGATATATCTAATGATTATTAATATTGCAGGAGAGAGGCTGGAGAGAGAAAATTGCAGGAGAGGATCCAAATTCGGTGACTAATCTCCTCGCTATGTTGGAAGCACCTCAAAGGGTGGGATAGCTGATCCCAAGGTTTAATGCGGCTGCATACACAAGGCAGGATTCAAACTTCTGACATTGTTTAAGCGTGGATCAACCCTTGTTGAACCACACGCTTAGGGTTCCAACAAACCATATATATAAAGTTATATAACCTTATCATTTTAAATTTATAAAAGAATTAGAATTAATTTGAATTTGAGTAAAAATTTAATTTGAACTAATTAAATTGGATTCAAATGAGTTTGAATTTTTTTTTTATTTAACCCGAACTAAATCAATCTTATGGTGATTGAGATTTGGGTGGTTATATTCAGATCATCAGATATCTAATAAATTTAATGAAATTAAAAAAAAAACTTTTTCTTCTCAAAATAAATAGATTTTTCAATATTAAATAAATTGATATATTGTCAAAAAAAAATTAACTAAATTGACATATTTGTAATATAATTCATCTTGATTTTCTTTTCTTAATCTACTTAAAGATTTCAAATGTAATATAGTGTGTAAATTTTTTTATTTTTATTTTTTATAAAAACAAAGTTAACATAACATGTCCATTAAAATCTATTGAAAAACACATGAAAGTATATGAGAATAATCTTTGAGATTAGAAATACCATGGACAGTACTAGATAACTTATGGGCTACTAGATTTGTTGATCCATGAGTGAAGTTTATACTACAACTTGATAAACTAAGAAAAATTGATTTACGGTTGCTTATAATTTTCCCATACTCAAATGAATCAACATGTGGCTTAATAACATTGTTCACCACATTTTAATGATCGAATTCAAACATCACATTCACGATACCTAGTTCGTTAACCCAACCCAAAGCTTCCTTCAACACAATCGTGTCACCTTCATGAGGATCAAGAGCAAACCAAAAATATTTTGTTCTAGCCATGATGAACACCCCTATATGATTGCGAATACAAATCTCCACTCCAAAGGATCCCTTGGTGTTGAACAAGTCTGCATCCACATTGTGTTTAACGACTCCATTCAAGTGGGCCTGCCTTGCGACGCATAATAGATGCAACAACCAGATGAGTTTTCTTAAGTTGCCTCACTTGTGACTAAACCCCAAAACAACCTTTAGCCCTATACAAAACCTCATTATTTGCATCCCATTTTGCTCCTTCCAACAACTCTAATTTTTTGCTCATCCATACACTTCAAAGGATCATGATGAAATCAATTGTCTATTTATGGTCCTATGCACTAACAACGTCCATCACCAGATCCTTCAAGCTCTTTAACTCTATTATGATAACCCTAACCTGAACATCAATATAACAATAGAACTAGCGAATTTGTGCATGAGAATACCCAACAAATATGTGTTAGGTGTTCTCAATATTGTTATCACACAAGACATAACTTATTGGGCATTGCACTCCCTTTGTCTGTAGCCTAAACCTAGTTGGAAGGCAACCATGACAAACTCTCCAAACAAATGACTTAACCTTTGCATGTATGGGGAGGTTCCAGATGGCCAAACTAGTTACCATGCTCTTTTAGGTGCTCCATATCCAACACACATGGTTTAAATAATCATGCTAGGCCGAATAGGTAGAATAACTACCATTGTGATTCCACTTCCACACTATTTTATCATTGCTTCTAATATTCCTTGATGGGATATGGTAGATGGCTTCACAATCTTATATATGGCTCAAATATCACTTCTATCATGTCAACCTTCCAACACATGTTTTCTTTTTCCAGTATATTTACTACAATTACTTGTTGTACACCCTCCGACTTAATCGTAGATATACAACCCTTGTTCTAGGTTTTTGTTAATCACGACTCCCTCCATATAGGGATATTGTTTCCATTTCCAACCTTCCACCTCAAGCCTTCCTTGATCAAATGTTGTGCACTCAATATACTTTTTCACATGAAACCAAGGTTATGACCAAGAGGTGTTGTCAAATAACCCTCTTTTAGATAGTACTTAGCCTTATATAAGCGACTAATAATCAAGGAATCTTGGTTGTTCAATAATCGCCATGCTTGTTTTCCCAGTATTGCGATGTGGAAAGCATGAATGCTTCTGAATTTGAATCCCCCAAATTCCTTCTTCGTAGCTAGTTTCTCCCATCTTAACTAGTTTATTCCTCTATTATTATCAATGTTAGAGCCCACTAGTAAGAATTCATTGTCATCTCCAACTCATCTCCCAAGTTTTGAGACATCAAACAAATGCTCTAATTATAGTGTGTGAAGATGACACTTAATATATTACAATATAGTTTCTCTTAAATAAATAGTTGAAAAAAAGAAATGAAAAAAAAATCTATATATTATAATACAAAAAGATCTTTAAAATAATCAAAATGATACATACATATTAATCATTAAAAAAATAAAAATAATAATAGATAAATTAATTGGTTTAGTTCATATTAGACCTGAAAAAAAATCCAAACCAATTGAATTGGTTCAATTCAAATTGTCAGGTTTGTCATATTGATTCAATCTGATGAACATTCCCAAAAAAATTGGTACTTTAGTATTTGAAATGTTACAGATAAATTTTTTATATAATTAAAATTTACAAAAAAATTATTTTGAATATATAAATTATATTATAACTAAAATTTGTAATAAATAAATATTTTATTATGTATTCACCTCAAAAAAATATTTTATTATGTATATTATAATTTTTATTCATATATAAATTATAATTTATAAAAAGTGATTTATATTGTGATAAACTATTATTTTAATTATTGATAATTTATTTAAAAATATCAAAATTAAATTTATAAATAAGAATAAAAATGATGGATTAAAAGAGATAACAGGTTAAAAAAATCCTAAAAATACTAAGAAGAAAAATAGTTAAAAAATTCATATTCAAGATAATTATTTTATTATATATATAATATATAATATGTATATTTATTTATATATAATTTATTATAAATTTTAGTTATATATAATAAATATTTAATTTGTGCATTACTCGTAGTAAAATACTAATTAATAAATTAACTTAATAACTTTTAAACTTAATTAGTTTTTTAACTCTTAAATCTTAATTAGCTTATCAATTATTTTTCAAACAGGTAAACGATCATTGAGTTTTTAGATGTCTTCATGAATACACAATTCTAAATAACATAAAAAAAAAACTAATTCCAAAGAAATTTGACAATGGAAAATGTGTTAGTCATATATTCAATTAGTTATTTCTATCCTAATTATAATTCTTCCCTCTTATTGCTTTTTCTTTTAAAACATAATAAAAATAAATTAAATATAGTAAAAAATCCATTATTCATCATAAAAGGGAATGTGAATATATATGGCAATAATGTCGTAAATAATACGAGTAAGGATAGCCTCTAATTTGTAAGGTTAAAAGTATGTTTAAAAATTAGTTGAATTGAATTAAATTAATTGAGTTAAAAAAAAACTATAATCAATAAGAATAACATTTTTTTTAGTTGAAAAAAGATTACAGTAACAAATTTTTTATTTATTTCTAATAAAATACGTTTTTTTTTTCAATAAAAATGATATTAAATTGGTATCAATCATACATTAAATCAGTAA